TATAGTATATACAATTAATACTATTTCTTAAAAACAATAAACAATTTTTTTTAATATTATATGTTTTTTATAACATAATATAACAGATTATCAATCAGAATAAAATAAATAAAATAAAACTATATATCATTATTTACATAAATTAATATTAACAAATATTAAAGAAATATTAATGATGTAGAAGTTTTTTAAAATTTAATAATTATCAATAAATATATATTTATTATTTTATATTTAAATTATGTGATGATTTATGAATATTTAAGACTATTTAAGAATATTAAGAATAAACATAGATTCAATAATAAAATAATTTGATCAGAAAAATTATAAAAAAATGATAGTAAAATATATCATCATTATTATTATTATATATTTATCTAATAATCTCTCATTCATATTTTTATACTTTTTTAAATACAAAATATAAATTATAATATTAAAAAATATAAAATTTATAAAAAAATAATCACTAACTTTTGTACTAAATTTATCACCCGGAGTAGATGGTGTAATACTTCGTCTTGGACTATTATTTTGATCATCTATTGAACGTCTGTCACTATTATTGTCATCATTAATTTGATTTGAAGTAATGTTTACACCCATTTTTACTTCTGCTATTAAACGTCTTGCTCTTTCACGCAATTGTTGCTGTCTTTCATCATCATTTTGACTCTAATAAATTATAAAATAATTAAAATCTATAAATTATAAAATAAAATATTTTTTAATTCAAACACAATCTTATTATAAATAATAACTATTATAAATAATGAATATATGTAAAGATATGATAAATAAATGAATAAAAGAATGTATATAACTATTTTATACAAAATTATAACACTAAAAAAAAAAAAAAAAAAAAACAAAACCTCAATAGGACAAGCAGCAGTAGAAATAAGACCAGTTGACTTTGTATGATTCCTAGCCTGTTCTAATAGCTGTCTGGCACGTTGTCTTAATTCGTCGTGTCGACTGACTAATGGCTAATATAAAAAAAGAAAGGAGAGAAAAAAAAAAAAGAAAAATAGTAAATTAGTTGAGATACTACAAACAGAATTGACAAATATGAACAAAGTAATTACATTTTGAGAACGTTGTTCTCCTTGTGATGATATTGTTTGATATTCAGTACGATTTCCTTTGTCACTTATATTGATTGAATCCTGTAAAATGATGCATTTATTGAAGTTATCATAATTATTAGAATAATAAAATTTTATCAAAAAAAGTTAAAATATTTAAAAATTAAAAATTAAATAGCAAAAAAAACATATACTATAAATCTCATGTTAAAAACATTAATATGATGTATATATATTCATACACAAATGGATAAATTTGTATTTAAAATAAAAAAAATTGTATTTAAAAAATTTGTATTTAAAATAAAAAAACGTATAAATATACAATATGCAATAAATGCATAAATAAACAATATATATTACTATATATATTAAATAAACAGCATATTCATATTAATCAATAAATATTATTATCCAAATATTTTTCATATTTCAACATCAATTGAATAAAACTATTCTAATATCTTTCATTTGATGAAAATAAATCATTGCAAATCTTTTATATTATAAAATTTTAGAATTGTATTATATTATAAAATTTTAGAATTTTAGAATTATAATTATATTTATAAAAATAAAAACAAATATTATAACTTTTTGTGTAATAAATAAAATGCATCATATTATCACTCAAAATATATATGTATAAATAATTTTTTCCTTAATTTTAACTATTAATTTTATTAATTTTATATAAAATTATGATTAAATTATAATTTTTTAAAATGGTTAAAGATAGAAAAAAATATTATAGTACAAGTTAAATAATTTCAAATATGACAAAGTAAATGATTCCTTTTAAATGATTTCAAAGATTTTAATCTATTTCATTTTATTATATGAAATGATATATCTTTTTCATATAGATCATAGTTATATTTACAAAGCTTTAAGTAATAGAAAAGCATATAAAATAAAATTTTCAATATATATCTGTGAATAATTTTTTAGTTTATTATATTAATTAAATATAATAAATTTATTCTTTCTTTTTATATAAATTTATTTTTTCTTTTTATATTCACTACAAATATATAAAATATATTCAGATATAAAATAAAAAAAATGTGAATCTTTCTATTGAACATGATCAAAAAAATTCTAAATAAATGCAAATATATAAATTCAGATAAAAACCTCAAAATTCTAATTCCTTATTTTTTAATTTTTAATTTTTTTCTTTATATTTTTCATTTTCCTATAAATAAAATAAACTCACATGTGATTTAAAAAAAAATTAATCTTTAAAATTTTTAAATATATCGACCTTTTAAATAATTTTAGGTAGCGTTTAAAATTATAAAGTCTGAAACTATCTTATAAAACAGCTTTATGAAATTACTTTCATTTTTAATTATTTTTATATTTCTATCTTTAACTATAAAACTTATTATTATGCGAAATATAAAATATAGTATATATAAAAAAAATATAATTCAGTATATATCAATGCATAAAATAGATAATATAAAATCAATAAACAATTATACAAAATAACATATAATATACAATATAATATAACATATATATAAACAGATATTTTAAATATACTGACATTATCATCTGGCGTTTCTGATTTATTAATTGAGATTGATTGAGACCATTTTTCGTCAATTATTTGAATATTTTCTTCTTCTTCATCAGATCCAAAAGGATCTGTTAATTGTCGACGAGTCATTAATATAGGACGTTGCTGTGTTTGTGATATTCTTGGTGGAGATTTACTCTATGTATGTAATTAAATTTTAATCAATATACTTTTTATTGTTAAGTGAAAGAAATAATAATTTATAATTTTATAATTTATAATTGTTAAAATTATAATTTTAAATATTATAACATAATATAATATTATAATATTATATTATAAATATTATAAATATATATTATAACATAGAAATTATTTATATAAAAATCTATTTATGTACCTTTTCTCTAGACAAATATTTTTCTTTTGTTGGTGATAATACTTTCTCTAAAATACTTTTTGAACTAGCTAATATAATATCTTTAACATCTTTAACACTTGATGGTGACTTATCTTTGCATTGATCATGATCCTGATTTTCTATGTTCAAACTTAAATGTAATTTATTTTTTAAAGCATCAATGTTAACATCTTCTTTTTTATTATCAAATGGATTTGATCTAAAGAAATATAATATTGTATCTTTATTATTATTTTTATTTTCTAAAAATAATTAAAAATATAATAAACATACCGTCTGTTATTATCACTTTTATTATTTTTATGATCCATTTGATCTTTTTTGCGCAAATTAATTATTTCCTGACCAAATAATTGCACACTTACATCTGAATTATTGTCAGTATTAAATCTGCCAATCATATAAGATGATTCATCTGCTGTTTTACCTATTTGATGTACCTGAAGATATAATAAATAACACATTACATAATAATACATTATATAAAATATATTACATGTTATATAAATTGATTTTATCTATTAAACATATTATTCTTTGTATATGTAATTATATAAGATTTAATGAAATTGTTAAATAATTACAATTTTTACATATTTAAAATATATATTTAATNATATTTATATATGTAAGAACTTGTGAATTTAAAAAAAAATAATAAGTTTATGTATATCAATCTATCAACAATAAAAATAAAAATATTATATTTCTTAATTTTTTTATATACAAAATATCTATATAGTATGTTTTGTATTTTAAAGTATTATATATAAAATAATATAGGATTTATATTACTCTAAATATAATAAGATTTGATTACAATAACTATTTTAAATATATTATTCTTCATTATTATTATTAATCATCATTTTTATTATTATTCATTAAAATACTTAAAAGGAAGTAAATAATATATATAAAATACTAATCAAATAGAGCTGTATAAATAATATAAGATTTGTGCTTGGATCAAAATTACAATTTATAATTTTCAAATATTTATTTAAAAATCAGAAATATAAAAAAATTACGAAAAAATATAAAAAAATAACGAATGAATATATGGTATTTTTCATATTTTTCAATTCTTACTTTTTTAATATTTATATTTCAAAAAAGATTTTTTTTTTTTTGGAAAATTAATATATAATAGATTGATGAGAATTAAAATCAGAAATAAGAATTTTTCATATTTCTATTACTTGATTCAATTTAAAATTCATATATCAATATTATAAAAATTTTTGAGAATTTGATCTAATTAATTTCAGTTTTGAATATTCAAAACTATATACATTTAAACATTCTAAATCTATTTTCAATCTGGTTTCAAAAAAAATTCTCAATTTGACCTGAATTCGAAATCTTGAGTACTTATATCTCTTATATTAATATTTTAATTTTAAAATAAATTCAATAAAATAAATCATATTTTAATTGTTTTAAATTTAATTGGTTAAAAATTTTTAAATTTTTAATTACAAATCTTTTAATTATATATCAATTAAATTTATTTATATAATATCAATTATATAAATAAAATAATATTATTTTTTTACTTTATATAATATAATTTATTTAAACGAAAAAAAATATGTAGATAACATAGATAAAATTTTATAATATACTTCATATTGAATTTTAATGGATAAAATAAGTAAAAAATTTAAGAAGAAATTCTAGAAACTTACAAAAGAAATATAAAAATTGATAAACATGATTCTTTTTTCTATCAATTCTCTCAAACATTATATATATCTATATAAATTATCTATATCTATGTAAATAATTATACCTTCCAATTTTTTTAATAATCGTAACATAAAAAAATAAAATATTTTTAAAAAATATAAATCTATTACTTCTAATTCATGACCAGTAAAATGTGCTCTCAATTGATACAAGTAAGTCATCACAGCTAATTTATCAGGTACAGTCAATATATCCATATCTGCTGGTTCTATTACTCTAGGTATCCCAAGAGCTTCTCCAGCATCAAATGCTTTTTTACAATTACCCTTTACATCATGTGGCAATAACGAATCAATGTCTCTGCAAATTATCATTTAATTATTATATCAGATATTTACCATTTTATTTCTGTTAAAAATATTTAAAAATAAAATATTTTAGATTAATTTTAAACATTTATGAAAAAAAAATAATCATTTTTAATATCATTATTATGATAATATAATTTTTGAATCATATCTTAAAAGTTTTAAATATGTTTTATACATACATAAGATCTGATCTAAAATGATGTATGATTGCACAAAATGCCATTCCATTTCTCCAAGATGTTGTAAGATTAGTAACTTTCACTCCAGAATAATCTTTAGTTACTTCTTTACACCATTCTAATAAATCCTGACCTGGAGTAATTTCTTTTAATTTAGGAATATTGGCATCATTCTTTTTTAATTCTAATGGTTTGAATGGTAATCTTATCAATGTATGTTCAATATTTTTACTGCAATAAATATTTATTAAAGATATTAAATTTATTTTTTTTTAGCATAATTAATATTAATTTTTCTAAACATTTCTTAATATACTTGTTTTCAACAGCAATAGTATCCTTTAAAGGTTTTTCTTTAAAGGAATCACCAATGCCTGACAAACTAACATCACGGATGATATGATCGCTATCATTTACAGGAGTGATATCATCTTTTGATAAACTTGCCACTGTGAAATATACAATATGATTATGAATATGTATTGATATATTATATGTAAATAAATAAATAAATATATATATATTAAAAATAAATATATATAATTTTTGAATATAATTATTAAACATACCACTTATTGGAGTACTAGGTAATTCACTTTCAGTAAGACTACTTGTCATTAGATCAAGTTGAGCAGAGATATCTAAAATTTCATCAAGATTTTTTCCAGATACTTCTTCAACATCTTCTGGTATATCTTCATTATCAAAATCATCTAAAGGTGCAATATCACTATTGTTGTTAACTGACATTAAGCTAGCCATACTCTGCATATCTTCATCCCTGATTAAAAATTATAATAAAAGTATTAAATTTGATTAGTAATATGTTCCAAATATTTAAAAATATTTTCTTACGTTGCTTTGCCTTCTCTTAAAAAGACACAAGATAAAGTACATTCTAATGTAGCATTAACAATTTTTTTTGATGTAGGTTTTAAATCCAATTTAAGTTGTTGTTGACTAGATTCTAAAGTAGCATATTTTTTCATATTTATATTTGTAGCAGCTACATGTCGTCTTTTACCAGTAGACGAAACCTAGTTATATATAATTAATAATTAATATATTAATATATTAATTTATATTTTCTACAATAATATTTATAATATAAATGTTTATATTTGTTTTTCCTTACATCTTCAATTACAAATGTCCAATCTTTATCTTCTAATTCATGGGTTCTTGGATCTTTAAATAAAGTTACTGAAACTGTATGATTGTCAGGAACAGCCCAACTAATGACACCTTTTAATGGATCACTTAAACTGGGTTCCCAATCTAATGGTTCTGAACTAACTCTTCTACTACGTCTTGTCCATACAACACTTAGTTTGTTTGGCTTCCTATATAATAAAAAATAGCTTTTATATATAGCATAAAATAGTTTCTAATAATATTTATATTCACTATATTACGTTCATAATAATATTACAATATATTGTATATAAATATCTTATAAGATAAAATTATAACTAATAATATGTATTATATATTTAAAAATAAATGAATTAATTTTCCTTTTATATAATTTTTTTATTAATCTTATAATCAAATATAAATACTAATTTATAACAAATGCATATTTTAAATTTTTATATTTTTTACAATATATTTTATTATGTTATTTTATATGAATGAAAAATTTTATAGATATATATATATATATATATATACTTGTATCAAATCAATGACAAAATGTCATTCTTTATTTTACAAATGACAAATACTATTTTTTTTTTTATATAAGTTTTTGAACATATATAAAATTTTAAATAATACATAAATAGCATTTTATATAATAAAGTTTTATACATATATATATATATATAATATCTTATATCATGTTATAAAATGTATTTAACATTTGTTTGAAATGACTTACGAATAATTATATTAAACATTAAATTAAACTTTGATTATATTTTGAAAAAAATTCATAATACTCACCATTTTGTTGTCGTTTGTAAAGTAACTTCATGATATGACACAGTAAATTGAAATTTTGCGGCTCTCTTGTTTACCCGTTGTAATCGTTTCCAAACAGAACTCATTTTTTATTAAATTAATTTTTCAATGATTTTTGTATTTTTTTTTTTTTTTTTTTGAATTTATAATTATTTACATACGTGTCTAACGTGACACATCATTTTTGACAAAATTATAGAAATTAAAAAATCAGTTACTTACAAACCGTGCAAAGAAAATATTTTTTTTATTTTAGGTTATTGAAGTATTAAGGTTGTAAGATTCCTTAATCATTCATGTATTTGACATTTTTACTAGAATATGAACAAAAATATATATTTCTCAATTAATGAATTCACAAATTTTTTAATTTATTATATATTCCATTATCATTTTTATAGCAACAATATTATTTATAAACAAAATAATATACATTTATAGATTAAAAAACTTTGATTAAAAAAAACTACAATCACGAGATTAAAAACTTTTCCAATCAACTTGATCTTTGACGAAACCTTTTCAACTTATTGATCTTATATTATATAATTTTATGATAGGAAACTTGATTGTAACATCATTGAATAAAGAAAATTTAATAATTTTAAAGTTAATATAATTATTTTTAAAAATTTATTTTTTCATAAATTATTGTAAATATTTAATTGTTTATTAAACATTTGTAAAAATAATAATTACAATTATTACATGAAATAAAAAGTAAAAACTTATTTTATATATATATATTTAATATTAATTACATATATATTATAATACATATACATTAATTATCATATATATAATACAATATATAATACAGATAATTTTATTAAACTAAATTTTATAAATTTTAATATAATTAGAAAACATGGATGGTATTACTGACTTAGTGTGTCAAAATATAACTAAAACATTTCCTCTAGTATTTATATATTTCATGAATTTACGCGCGCTTCTTTGTTTAAAATCAAATTTCAAAATTACAAATCTAATATTTTTTAGTAATCTTTTGAATTCGATAAAATATATATTTTACAAATTAAATAGAAAAAAAGTAATTTTTATAAAAATAATTTTATTAAATTTATGTAAAATGAAATAGTTTTATTAAAAAATTCATATTTAAAAATTATTAAGAAATAAATGAAATTTTCTTTTAAAAATATTATTGGTTTTATTAAGGTCAGAATGTTAAAAATAATATCTAGTTATTAATTGAATTTCATCATTAATCATGCAATATAATTACATCATGTAATGTTATCTAATATGTACAATGTATCTATATGTACAACAATGTATCTATATATTTATTATGCATTATTCATGCTATGATAATTATAGTAAAAAATACAAAATTATCTTATGCAATAAATACCATACAAAAAGAAATATTTATTTCAGTTTAAAATTCTTATAGCTGAAGTAAAGAAGACTTCAAACGAGACAAACGATTTAAAAATTATTTTAAATTCTTCTTCAGTTTAAAATTCTTATAGCTGAAGTAAAGAAGACTTCAAACGAGACAAACGATTTAAAAATTATTTTAAATTCTTC